AGCACGCTACGGGCCTACGGCCCTTGCGCGCATTTTCTGATAGAGAACTCATTGGGTTGGCAGGGGCAGTCTTTTCTACCGCTGGGACTCATTTTTGGCAGCAAACAACTTCTGCATTCGCAGAATAATAGTTGTTTTCGCCAAAAAAATTTTTTCACAGAATTATTCTCCCGGAAAGGGGGTCTTATCGTGAGAATAATTCTGTTTTTCACAGAATTGTTCTGTGCACAGAATTATTCTCCCGGTTGCCCGACATTTCTCGATGACACTGACCATCAAAAGATGTCCTAAGATGTCAATTTCGATGGACATTTCTTGACATTTCTCGACATCTGCAGACATTTTGAGTTATTTCTACAAGTCGCAACATAAGGCTTTTTGTAAGTTAATGTCTCACAATGTCTAGAGACATCCTTTAATGTCAAAAGATGTCTATAGAAGTCATTTGACATCCCTTGACATTTCTCGACATCTCGAGACATCTTAAGACATTCATCAAGTCTCAAGATGCCTCTGAACATCATGCAACGTCTCTCAATGTCAAGAGACATTCTTCAATGTCTGAAAATGTCTCTAGACATTTAAGGACATTCTGAGACATTTATTGGTCAAAATTTCAAAAACTCGATTTAGTATCAAAAATATTAATAATTTTTCAAAATATAAACTCTTCGACTTCTTCAATAATTCTTGAATTCAGCTGCTTCGTACAACGAAGACGCAGTTTTCGGCTGCACGATGATGTGGGTCTGGCCCGATTGCTGCCCGCAGTGGCAGAATATGAACTTCCTTTCATAATGAATTTCGCCTCTGTTCACTTTCTTACTATTCTTGACTAAACAGACTTTTGTTTCTAACGATAAAAACTTGGGATAAATAATTTAATTTCAATGTTCTGCAAAATAAATATTCGAGACAGATACATCCCAAATCTTTTATTTTTCAGCAGCGGCAGAGGAGCAACAAGTTTGGCTCTTTTTTGTACAAAAGTACTACCGCAAATCTAGGTCGCAAATCATTTGAGATTCTAGGACCTTCTTTTGATAGCCAATAAGATTGCTTTATTTGGCCCACCGACCAATCAAAACCCTCAAAATCCACTTTCAAAATTATTTTCTCCCCACTAATCGTCTCAAAATTAATTTATCCTACCTTTCAGGTTTTGATTTTGTCCAGAAATTTTATGATTCTGATAACTTTTTCTCCGTGGTAATAAAAACAGAGTCGTAATTTCAGAGTCACGAGAGCGCTTATTCGCCGGTTTATGATCTTCTGTTTTTGAGAAGAGAAATTAAAAACTCACTTTTGAATTCGAAGTCGAGAAAAAGTAGCTGCAGATGAGACAAGTAACGACACATCCAAAAGAATTGACGAGAGAAGCGGTTGAGAAATGGCTGGAAGGTTTTAAGAAGAAGTTGAAAAGAACGACGAGCAGAGATGATTTGGACAGACTGCTTTTGTCCGTTGAGAGACAAGAGTTTGAATATAAATGGAATGCTAATTGGGAGGAGGTTGTTTTTGAAAATGGAGAAGGAAAAGTTTTGCGTTGGGGCGAAGAAAAAGAAAATGAGCGATTACCGCATTCCAAAACGATTCTTGAAAAAATACAAAATTGAAAATCGAAAAATCGCGCGATCAGAATTGAAAGAAGAAACTGGAGAATGGATTCTCGACAAATCTTTCAAATCGATTTCTGAAGGAGGAGAAGCGATCGTTTTGGAAGAAAAATTTGGAGAATTGGACGTTGCCGTCAGGGTGCAGGCTTTTGACTCGGCGCTCTTTTGGAAGAAGAGGAGGAGTTGAAATTTGAGATTCATCTTTCAAATGGTAAGAATAATTGTTTTATTTTTGATTTTTACATTCTTAGATTATGAAACCGCCGAAAACGACGAAAAATATGACGTTCCCGTGATCCCCCGTCATTCCAATATTATCAAGAATTATTGCAGCATAGAAGTCTTCTTGAGCGAAGACGAAGACAACGATGACTGCCTCGGATGGATAACGATAATGGAAAAGTGCGACTGCGATCTTCGAAGCCGACTCAAAAAAGAAGATCTCAACTTGGAAGAAAAAAAGAAAATAGCAGTTGGAGTGCAAGACGGACTTGATTATTTGAAGAGCGTCGGAATCTGGCATCACGACAAGAAGCCCGAAAATGTTCTCTTGAAAGATGGAGAACCGAGATGGGTCGATTACGGGACGTTGCAAGAATTAACTGGAAGAAGGAGCTTACGCGAAATGGGCTACGCGCGGAGAGGAAGCAAATATAGATACAGTAAATTTTTATGTAAGTTTTTAATTCGGTTATCTTGAATTAATTTTTCGTTTATTTTTTAGATTCTGGTTCTGCTGCTTTTTCGGGAAGTGAAGAACTTTGTAATGAAGACGGAGGAGAGGGATCGCCACTTCATATTTTGATTCTCTGCGACTGGAAGTCTGCCTGGAGTCTTCTTTACAATCCCATCGAAGAAGGCGAGCGAGAAATGATCAAAAATGAACTAAAGGTTTTTGGATTCTTCGTATTTTTTCGACAATTTCATTTTTTTTAGAAATTCAATGCGGCCTGGCTATCAAAAAAAACTCCAACAACCGATGAAATCAAAAGTTTATCAGAAATCATTTCGCTAAAAAACGCGCCTTCCCATTTTTGCCTGGACGATCCAAGCTTGACAAAATCCTCCGCGATGGCCAATCTCAAACAGAAAATGACGAAACAAATCAATTTCGACTTCAAAAACGTGACGAAGAATGTTTTGAACCAGAAAGAAAGCAATCTTTGTGTGCCAATTTCAGTTACTACTCTTTTGAGATGGGCCATCAAAAATGATTTGCGAGTTAAAAATGGATATTATGAATTATATTGTTCTTTTGAAAAAATCTTCACAATTCTGACGATGGTGATTTATCCGCGCAGTTTGGCTGGATTAAATTTAAATCCGAAATTCGAAGAACAAGAATTCCAAACAAACGAAATTGAGTTGCTTCTCAGAAGATTAAAATTTGAGACTTATTTGAATCCAAGTGGATGGGAAATTATTAAAAGAATGAGTAAAAGATTAATAAGAGGCAATTTTGATTTCGAGCTAGGTATCTTCACTTTGTTATCATAACTTTGAAAATAATAATATATTTTCAGTGCTCCTCCACGACAAATTCTCCTCCACCCGTCCCCTGACAGTCACCGGCGCCTACCTAAATCCCGACGGATCTGTGTTTTCCCACCAAATGGTGCTTGACCGCGTCGAAAACTCCAAATTCATTCTCCAAAACACACTCATCGACCATTCTGGCACTAAAATCGAAATTCCTCAGAACAGGCCATTCTACGCCGAATACAAAATGATGAAAGATTGCTACGACTTCTACAAAAAATATGAGTATCGCGGAGACAACGGCGAGATCATGACTCTGGCGAACGAGCAGATCAAAAATATGAAGAAAGAAACTTGGCACCTTCTCCCACAGGCTTATTCGATTATTCTCAGAAAATAATAAAAATCAATTTTCAAATGTTTGATTTCAAGTGCCTCGAATCATTCTCGTAACTGTAAAATTTTCTTAATGCTACTAATTAAAAATGACAATAAAAATGACGATTTCACTTTATTTCTTTCGAATAATCATCAATATTAAAAGTCGGGAAGCCCAATTCTCCAGCAAGCAGGCTTTTCGTATCTTCCCATTCCCAAAATCAATCGCTTCTTGAGTAAAATATAATATTTTTGATTTCAAAAGAAGGCGGAGTTTTCGTACTTGGTCAGTCATAATTCGGCACTAGAACGAAATGCTACTGCCGCGGGCAATGCTAGCGCTCATACTTATTCTCTTAAATTGACGGAACGTTTGCTTATTAGTTAACTAAAGAGAATTCAGAATCAGAGAAGAAGATAGAAATTATAAGCTTTCAATCTAGAGCTTGAGGCTCAATGTACGGGTATGTATCCCCTTAATTTTTGATACTAGAACTTATAATTAGAAGCAAGATAAAAAATCCGGAGAAAAATTTTTTTCTTTAAAATTTTTCCACTAAAAATAAAAGACCTTATTTTTTCAGACTGCGCTCAGTCCGCAGACGTCATGTATTCCTCATCTTCGCAACAATCTTCCTCGTCATTTTCCTGACCAACAACACAAATGCAGTTCACCGACTCAGGCGGCTCGACATCGAGTCGATCGACTGGAGCAACTACGAAGAGGACATCATTTCCCACGTCAAAGAAGAGCTCAATTCCATCGTGGAAAATCCCGAAGATTTTTTAGAATCAAAAAAGACCGAAGAGATAGAAGAGAAAATTGAGGAAAATGAGAAAACAACTTTGACGGAAACATCATCAACGTCAGCAACATCGACAATTTCGACAAGTTCGACAATTTCTTCCTCATCAACATCATCATCAACAACAGAAAAAACTGAGAAGAGAATTGAGACGCCGAAAAGTGCAGAAAACAAAGAAGAAAATCAACAAAGAAAAAATGAAAAAGAGGTTGAAAATGAGCCAGAAAAACCATCCCATTCACCAGAACCGGAAATATCTCGAGTCAAAATCGAAAAAAACGCTCAAGAACCCGCCGCGATCGCGAAGCAAAAAGCGCTAGAAAACATCAAAAAACATCTGCAGCCAGCCAAAATCCCAGAAAAAGAATCCGTGCCTTGGGTTTATCCAACAATTCCAGCTCCTGGCGAAAAGAAAAAGGGCCCGCCAGTAGTGGCAAAACGCTTTGTCGTGAAAAAATTTCTGAATGCGACGAACATTCATATTTTTTATCGATCGCTCCCGGAGAAAACTGAGCAGAGGCGGCTTTTACGGGCGTATATGAAGATGTGGATGAGTGTTAATTCCGACGAGTCGATGCTTCCGATGAATTACTCGATCGTCTCTTTTGATGACGAAAAAACAAGGCGAGAAAGCGAGAAATTCGGGGATCTCCACCTCTGCGCTCGGAATTCAAGCGAGCTGGAAGAATACACCCTTCTCATGAAAGCAGTGAATCTCGCCACGGAAATGAATTTGAACGAAACCGAAGTCGCAATTTTCGCCTACACAACTGACCTCGTTGATTCCAGCGAAATCACCAGCGCGACCGGAAAATTGGCAGCGATCGACTCGGGTGGGGAGAAAAATATGATTTGCTTCAAAGGTTCTAGCAGGGATACGAATCATTATTCTAGTTGTGGAGAAAAACCGGTTTTTGCGCTGAGAGGAGATGTTGTCAAATTGTTGGCGAAAGAGATGGAGATTATCAAGCCTTACATGGGGAGCATTGAAGAACGCCGAATAGGTACATCTTTTTGTCTTCTTTTTATCGCAAGAAAATGATTAATTTTAGGCTGGTTGACTGGAATCGTCCGTGCTCGCTCGAAAATCGTAGGATTGGGCGTCAACCAAGACAACCACAATCTCATCCAAATGCCCTTCGAACTCGAGCAGTTCAACGACTTCTACGAGGACAACTACGACTGGGGAATGGATCGAAAGCCTCGAAAACTGATGGACTACGACCTGCCCGAAATTTACAGAAAACCAGCGGAATGGAAGATAGAAATAGAAATAGCGCCACCTTGCGACCCTTCTCCTTACTTGTATCTCGTGAAAACTTCCAGGTAAAAATCGAAATTGAGTCACGTGATGAAACTTTCAGGAAAAATTTTGAGCGTCGAAATTTTCTCCGGGCGTTTCAAGAGTTCGACAAAAACTCGACCAAGATCGAAAATCTTCCTCAAATGCGATTTTTGCTTGGAAAAGGAAAATCCTCGGAAGACCCTTCCATCGAGAAATTCATTAAAAAAGAGATGAAAGAGCACGGCGACTTGGTGGTTGGAAAGTTCATCGACGAATACGACAATCTTCCTCACAAAACAATGGCTGGCTATACTTACTTCGCCGAAAACTGCATGAAACCGCACAAGAAGCAGTACGTGATGTTTATCGATGACGATGTCTTGCTGGACGTCGAGCATCTCGACAGTTATTTCAAGCAACCAAACGCTAGCGACTTCACTTGCTTTGGATTCCTCGGAGAACATGCGAGGCCGAATCGATGGGGAAAATACAACGTTACAATTGAACAGTGGGCGGGCGGTCATTTCTTTCCGAAATTTTGCTCCGGTAGGATCTTTTTCCTGCTTCAAATTCTTTATGTTTCAGGTCCTTGCGCTGGAATGACGGCAAAAATGAGCGAGAAGATATATGAGGCAGCTTCTACGACGGATGCCAAGGGGTTCAAGCTTGAAGACGTCCTTTTTACAGGTTAAGAACTTTCTTAATGTCTACTTTTAGAGAAAAAGAGACATGACGAGACATCTCCTGACATTGTCGGACATCTTCGGACATCAAGAGACATCAAGAGACATTCTTAGACATCCCAATGTCTTTTGATGTCAAGAAGTGTCGCCAGATGTCTGGAGATGTCCCTGAATGTCAAAATGATAAAAAATTTTAACCAGCTCTTGATTTGCTCTCATCGTTGATTTCAGGCATTATTCGAACGAAAGCGGGCATCCCGGAGCCATCCTTTCAAAAAGACGTGTGCAAACATTTCGACCAAAAGACCAAGCAAGCGACGGAAATGTCGATGTGGCAATACATCCGACAGCTGTGCGCCCGGCGCAAATACATGTAAGAAACAACGGAAAAAAACAATGGCCCTAACTCATTTTAAAGGTCGACGATTCAAGATCTGGAAAAACTAGCGATCGCGTTCGGATTCGATCCGAATAAGTACGCGCACCTTAAAGTTGGCCTCCCCCCGGGCGTGTCGGCAAGAAAACCTCCCATCGTTGAAAAGGGGGTTTCGGTGGTAAAACCAGTCGACCTCGAGGGAAAAGTCGGAAAACCAATTTACCGAAAACCTGATCTTTCAAAACCCGGGCTATATCAGGCCCCAAAGCCGACAGTAAAAAAATCTCCAGTTGAAAAAGCTTCGCCTGCTTCTCAAGAAAAACCTTTTGCTAGAAAAAACATCCGAATCGCAGGAAAAAGCTAAAAAGAATCTTCTTTTCTGTGCAATCAAACCATTAGTTCCAAATGACAGATCATTCCAGAACAGTTCAAAATATTATATACTCAATTGAATAAACCAATTATTTGAAAAGAAAACACTCTCGATCGGGTTCAAGTACTGACGAAAAAATATCAAAGGCGGGGAAATGCCCTCTTCGTGAAAGTTTACAAGTGGCCTTGTTGCAACAAATGGGAGCGATGCTATTTGAGGAACAATATTGTTTCCGACAAATTTGCTAAAGCAGATCCTAGGCTCAAATAAAATCGCCCCGGAAGCAAATTTTAAATTTATCGGCGACTGTCGTATTTGTCACAAATATTTTTTCTATAAAAAATTCAGGCGTTAAAAAATGATAAAATATTGAAAAAAATGTAAAATGAGAGTTTTTTAATGATAAATTATTGTTTAACGATGTTTGTAAAACATGTTTGTTTAAAAAAGTTTCGAGAAAAAACGCCGGAAAAAGAAAAAGGTGCCGATGCGGGGAAACAAGTGAAGGTTAAGCCCTAATCGCCGCCTCGAAAGGGTTAATTTTGCTGCAACCGTTGTGCTCGGAGCTGAGCGCAGGGCTCTAGAAGACGCTGCCGTTATTAATTTACGCATTTAGCGGATTTTCGTATTTTTCGCCGGCGCCAAAGAAGAATTGAATTATGCACTAGAAAAGTAGCGCAAAGGGAATTTATGAATTTCGCGTTTTCGGGAAAAAAGAAAAGGAATAATCCACTACTGCTGTGTTTTCCGGAAGAGGGCACTGTTCGCGGTCGATTGGCGATTTTTATCCGGCACTGGGCACCGCAGAATGCGATTAAAAGCCCCGCTGTTCATTATCACCTAATTGGGAAGGACTTAGCCGCTAAGCAAGAAGAATTTGGTCGAGTTTACATCGCTCATGAAATTTAGCTGATTTTTAAAAAAGGGTAAAGAAGCAATCTTGCTCGATGAGCCCCCTTTCGCCACACTTGGAATCAAAGTTGGAAAGGAGAGCCACTCAATTGGCTTGTTCCATCCGGCGGTAGTGCTACAGTCACTAAGGAAATGAGAGGTACCCCCTTTTCATTTAATGTTTTCGAGAAGTTCAGAAAAGAAAAACTATTGAAAAAGATTGAAAACCAAAAGCAAACAAAGATGTGAGAGACATACAGAACTTCTCAATCAAATCCTTCCAGGCGAAGTAATTGATCAAAACCACAAGAAAGTGGGTAAACAGATCAAAAGCGATCGGACAGACTGTAGCTTTGGAATCAGAATACTTTGAGAAACAAAAGTAATCAAACATCCGCCACCCATCTCATTCTTACCCATCTCATTTCTTTTCTTTCCGTAGTTTCTTGAACAAGATCGCTTGGTGGAACAAAAACTATAGTTATTTAAGAAAACCCGTCAAAACGATGATTCTTTTAACAATAAAAGAATCTGATGCGTTAAAAATATCAACCCTTATTTCGTCAAAATCATCGTGAAAGCCGACCAATAGAGTCGCCTAACTGTTATCATTTCCATTTTAATCCCACTGAGTTGCGGAAATAAGCTTTCGTAATCGACAATTAAGTTTCTCAAGGAGCAAGTTGCTGAGTTAGTACCGCGGGTGGTCGCCGATTTTCGGTATCGCCAGGAGGGCGCTCTCGCTCTCTTTTAGCGCGCTAGGACCGCCGCTGCGCCGCGCCCCGCTCAATCAGCTGCGAAAAAAGACGAAAATCAAAGCCAAATGTAACAAAAGAAAATTACCTGATTACAATTTGAATTGAACAAGACCGATTCTTTTCAAGAGAGAATTTCAGATTCAAGAGAGATCAAATGAAGAGCTTGAAAAACTGAAAACAGAAATCGCCGAAGAGGAGAATTTTAGGTATGCGACCGCACATTATTGCATTTTGACGGGAGAGTGTTCGGAATTTTGAATCAGACCCAAAATACCACGCTTGTTTTTGAAGATTCTAGCGCTGAAAACGAGCATCTTTCATTTGCATATTATCCCAGAAGGAATTGAAAGCCTACGTGGCTTCTCATGACAACTCTTTTAAAGCCTGACTCAGGATTTCTACACAGGTTTCTGAGCACAGTTCATCGAAAAATATCTCCAAACCTTTTTTAGTTTATAAATATCGATCGAAAAAAGACGAGAACAATTTTATAGAGCGGAATAGGAAGCGCAGTGGGGAGGGAAGTTTTTGATGTACGGGGACAGGGCATAAATCGATTTTTCATGCCGAGGGTGAGAAACTTATCCAGGCCACCCGCTGACTCGATATATCGACTAATTTTATATTTTTTAACACATTGAAGTGTTGAGCGACAGATTTTAGGATCATCCTCGCTGCGCGACTTTAAAAACAGGCTCTGAGACAGGAAAAAACCTGTGTTGAAAACCTGAGTCAGGGTCTGAATTTAATTTTTGCTAATCATTTGACATCTTTCAGACCCTGACTCAGGTTTTGACACAGGTTTTGCTCAAGAAAATATGCTCTTTTGAAGCAACAGTAAGATAAGTTTTTTGATTCCTTTGTCTTTTCCGAGATCGATCGACCACGAAATTCGTTAGATCTTTTTCTTCTCTTCTTTCAAAATTACGGAAAAAGTAAGCGCTATCGATTAGCGCCGATTTAACGGGCGGAGGAAGTGAGCTTATCTAACCGCGTAATGCAGCGCGCGCTAAATTCGGCACCGCGGTTGCACCAAAAAATTTTCGGCCGCCGAGGCTGAATTTATTCAAAACGAATTTCCCGTGGCAGAGGGACACGAAAATGTCAACGCGTTGACTTGGACCGTGCTCGCGTTCGCAGGGGAAATCGGTTAAAATATTCATTTTCTTTTCTTGTCATCACGCTGTCTTATCGTTTATCTACTGTATTTATATACAGTCTTTATGGTAAATATGAGCTAAGGCTCTGAAATATATTTTCATTCGCTGAATAACAGATAAATGACAATTGTTGCGAAGGGCTTTTCATTAAAATATTTAAGGGCTTTGACTCAGCTTTGCAACGTACAATGTAGGCCACAATGTTGCAAGTTGCAAAATCGAAACTGAAAAACTGATAAGCTTTGATAATGAGCAGCGAGACCGTTTTTTCTCCTTGATTAAGCTCGGCTCAAGGCTTATCATCTTCCTTTGTTGCAAGCTTTTTTCTCTCTCCCAGGAGTTTTTTCCAAAACTAAATTGAATGTATAAGCAACAATAGCTCCTCTTCTGCCTGGCGGGTCCGCTTTTGATTAGCTATTTAGGCCATTTTGGGAAGCAAGTTACGATTCTAGCGCTCTCTGCTTTTATCCTTTGGGAGTGGTCAGCTACTGATAAGGTGAAGGAGCGCCTAAGCCCCGCCTTATCGCGCCGGACACACATTCATTCACTTAGTCCTTTTCGGGGTCAAATAATTACCTCCGCGCCGGCGTTCCCAGTCCGGCGTTCTTGACCTCTGCATTCGCCATCTGCGCACTCATCCATTTTTCGAGCCCTGGAATCAGGCTCTTCGAATATTAGTTTATCAAACTTTTTTGATTGAGGATAATGAAGCGCGATTTTCAGCGCTTTTATGTTTTGAATTTTCGCGAGTCTCTCAGAGTCAAGAACATACCAGAGCTATTGACAAACGAAACGAGAAGCACTTGCTTCTGGAAGAGTGCTTTTCAATGAAGCAGCTCAGCCGAAAACTTCAACGACACTTAATCTACCGGCCTCAGAATCGCGAAAATGTTGAATAGTGATAATAAGGGGGTCTCCTTTAGATGTCCATATTATAAAGGACAAAATTCGTTAAGAGGTAGAGTCTACCTGGTAGACCCTTGCATATAAGAATACATTTTTGAGCCAAAAGCGCATTACAAAGGACGTATTTGATCTGGGAGTATTCCGATGGAAGTGAAAGTGACAAACTCTGACGCGGCCCCGTCGACCTGCCTCTTTTATATTTTGATAGTTAGCAAAGTGGCGGATCCTTATAAAAGTGCTCATTTGAGGTACACAGCCAGTAAACTGGGCTAAGGGGCCATCTAGCACACGCAGTGAACACAATGGAGCTGCCGAGCAGTAAATATTTCATCGCAGATCAACACATCTGCTTTCTAAAAAAACTCAAACATGCTTTTCCTTCAATTTTAAACACACCCTACATACACACATCTCCTCTTTAGCCAAATGAGCAGGAAAAAAGTAATGAAAAATTGATTTCTTTTCAAAAAACTTTTTCTGTAAAATTGACAAATTTATTTAAAAAATCAACTCGGATGTTTTTGAAGCCCAATTCGACCGCGGCTTATCCCTCATAACTCGATTTCACAAAGAAGGGCTTAGCTAAATTCGGGATCATAGACATCTGTTCAACCCCACTTTTCTTTCTTTGTCGGACCAAAAACCGCTTGAGCTCAAAGTTTTTCAACGCCATGGGAAGATTTGATTTTGAAGCTCTCTGTCTTCCTTTATTGAGCCTTTTTGCGAGAGGAATCCTTTTCAAATCCGCCGCCGAATGGGTTAATTTGGATAAAATATCCTCAACAAAGCGAGATTTTAAAACATAAACAACTCAAAATTCAATCAAAATTCAATGCTATGACATCGTTTTTTTTTCTCTTTGAATTTGAGAAACGATGATTGATTTTTTCATTTCTCGTAAAAATGAAGTTTCGAGACTCTCTGGCCTCTTCAGCGGCATTTTACGACTTTTGGGCTTAGTAGTACTTTTTGGTACGATAAAAAATAGCATTCTTCATAACGATCGAGAGATATTTTGGCGCGAAGAATTCAGAAAAATCTTTTTCCAGGGAGAGATTTACAGGTAGTAGCTTTCTTCTTTTTGTTTGTTTTCGGGGGCGAACACTTGAATACTATCAGAATCGCTTCAAGTGAACTTGAAAAAGGAGAGAATCCATGAAATTGGCCTCGGAGATCCATCATTTTTTGTCGAAGACTAGGTAGATTTTCACGGCTTTATCGAACTGGAACTCGGTAATTTGCTTATTTCTTATGCAGGTCATCCCAATCCAGCTCTAATTAGATTCATTAATTAGTAGTTGCCCATGGGCTTTTTTAAACCTGCTCGCCAAGTTTAAATGCCAACTTCTCCAATCCCCAATTTTAATTCAATATTTTTGGCCCAAAAAGACTTGGTCGATTCAAACCGGTGAAATCAGTTCTTGGCCAAAAACTTTTCAATACAAAAAATAGCCAAAATAAAGCATAAGCAAATACAGCCGAATATTCGTAAGAGGCACGAAGGAAATCCTTTTGTTAGCGTGTAACTCCATCGGATATTCGCTATTAAATTAAGTCTATTTGCTCTTTGCTCGCTTCCGTGATACAGATCTGATTCGATAAAAGAATCTCTTCTCAGTTCTTATTTATATTTACTTGTTTTCCGAAGCACGGATCTGGCTTTGGCATTATTCAGTAATAAATTTACACTGGCGCCGTCCCAAAAATCCTTCTCCCCGAAAAGGTCGCACCTAGCCCCACTCAGTGCTCATCTCTCAGATGGCATTTAGGATTAAAGTATCGCCCTGTCGAGTACTCTCAATTTTTCCCATCGTGTTTTTTATATTTCGATTCAAGGGTGAGCGGAAATTAAAATGACACTTTTGCCCTTTCCGTTTAAAAAAGGCTCGGCAACCTGTGTAGAAAACCTGACTCAGGGTCTCAAAGATCTAAAATGAAAAGGCGCGAAGCGGCTTATTCGAATAAGAAAGCCGCAATGCGGCTTCGCAAGAAAACCTATTAGAAACAAAAGGTGGAAATGGTAACTTCGCGAAGCTGCTTTGCGGCTTCGTTATTAAAAAAGCCGCAACGCGGCTTTTCATTTGACATCCTTCGGACCTTGAGTCAGGTTTTTTTCACAGGTAACTGAACTCAGAGGGCTACTCTTTATAGGATCTGTCGCGAAATTCGTCCATTAAAATGGTAGTGACCCCCTTATTTATTCACATATCCAAATTATTGATGGAGAAAGCCTTAATTTTACGAGACAGATTTTCTGTCCGAATCAGAATTCATCAATGCGAGATCTTCTACGAATCAATTTCTAAACAGTTTCGTTCTCATTACTTTCCTTTTTTTCGATAAATAATGCAGACGAGTGGTGGACGACGCGTTTTTTAATAATTATTCAAATGAATAACTTTGCTAAGTGCATCCCACGTAAAAAATCGAGTAGTTTTTCAACTTTTATCGAGACTCAGATCTTTTTAATAATTTATCAATTTCTGATTGTTAATTCTGTTTTAGGCGATGTCGAGATACAAGCCTTCTCTTGCTCTTACAGTACTGGTCCTACTGTTTCTACCGCTGGCAAATGCAGAAATTTGGCACAGCGAACACACAATGAAAGAAACAGGGCCTGGATCCTTTCTCGTCAACTTGGACCAGCAATTCGGCACCTCAGGACTCGAATGGAAACTCATCACGAACGCCAAAGGATTTGAACTGAAGGGCTCCGATCTTTACACCAAATCCGAAATCGACCGAGAAAAAATCTGCCCAACGAAGAAAAATGAAGACTGTATTATTAATTTGAAGCTCTATTCCTTCAAAAATCAAGGAATTTACGAACTCAGGTAGGCTTTTTCAAATTTTTTTGTAAAATTTTTCAATTATTTGATAAATAATAAACGTTAAAATTGAAATTACCGCCGCTTGTTTGTGGTTAATCAAAGACTGCGTGATTTAGGGGGCTGATGAGCACGCGTACTCAAAATAAGACCCTGCACCTCTGCGCTTATTTATAAGCAAATTAAGTTTTAATGGAGATTTCGGCGATTTCCGCAAAAAAATCATAAGGGAATCCCTATTTAAACGGATTTCCCATCCTCTTTAATTCTTATGAGATAATTTTTCGAAATTCTGTTCAGAAAGGGACACCCTTGAGAAAAATTTGATTCAATGATTTTTCATCATCAAAAAATCGTTTAGTTTGACGATCGAAGATGTCAACGACCACAAGCCAGTTTTCGAAGACGAACCGATCGAGATTTTCTTTTCCGAAGACGCCCAAGTTGGCCAGCGAAAAATGCTCTTCAGCGCGACTGATGAAGACTCCGACGAATTCGGAATCGACCGCTACTCGCTGAAAGACGACTCGGAAACGTTCAACCTGGTCGAGTACAAAAACCCAGACGACACGAAAGTTCCACAGCTGATTTTAAAAAGAACTCTCGACCGCGAAGAAAAGGACAATTACGAACTCGCCTTGACGGCGTTCGACAAAGGCGAGCGCGCGAGCACGGTCAAGGTGCTCGTCAACGTTGTTGACGTTAATGACAATCGGCCGACTTGGCAAGGCTGCGAGGGAGGCTCCGTTTCGATCTCAATCAAAGAGGGGCTCGCGATTGGCGAGCGACTGCCGATCTCTATTGTTGCCACCGACGCGGATGATGGGCTAAATGGACAGATTACTTACAGGTAGAAAGAAAAAACGCGGCAAAAGTGACAGTAGGCTGATTGATACTTTCTCAAAGCTTTTAAAAGATTTCCGGATGATGAAAAGTAGATATTTCGAGACAAATTGTTAAAAGTATTCAAAAATTTATTATTTCAATTTTAGATATTCCTCGACAACAAACACCGAAGCCCGAAAAGTCTTCAATTTGAACCCTCAAACAGCCGAAATCACAATTCTCGAATCACCCGACTTCGAAAACGTCCAATCCCACCACCTCTACCTCGAAGCAGTTGACAACGGTCAAGAACCCAAAGTCGCCTACTGCATCCTCAACGTCAACGTCCTCGACGAAAACGACGAAGAGCCGGAAGTCCAAGTCACACCGCTGAATGCCGAGGCAGGCAGCAACTCGAGCGTGATTTTTCTGAAAGAAGACTTCGAAGTTGGAGGGTAAGAGTGACTCAATTCAGGGACCACTTGCTGCGATTTGTGATAAGAGGATCATTTAATCCAGCGTTTTTCACGGCTCAGGAGGCGATATTCTTAATTTTCGCGATAAGTGAATTAGTTGTTGACGCTCTAGAATCTGTTGCCAAAACAGGCACTGATATGCTGCACCACCACCACCACCACGGCACTTGAATTTTTTCCACTATTTGGCATTTTTTTTATCAATTTTGATATTCGGATTGTTTTATTTTCAAAGCTCTATTAAAAATCTTATTGGTATTTTTTGAAATTCCTGAATTTTAATTGGCCAATCAAATTTTCCTTTTGAGAAAAATTAAAGGTAATTTCAGGCTCTTCGCAATTGTCCTTGTCACCGATAAAGACAACCGCGGCGAAGAAGTCACCGCCTCCATCGACAACAGCGCTTTTGAACTGGTCAAGTTTGAAGTCGGCAGCTTTCAACTGCTCCTCGCCGAGGCGCTCGACTACGAGCAGACTACAGTTATTCAGGCGACGATCTCAGCCACCGACGGAGAGCAAAGCCCCCTTACAAAGGTTTATCCTCTCGAGATTGTCGTCCAGGATGTGAACGACAATGGCCCCAAGTTTCAGCTTCAAGGAAATGGTCATTTTTTCTTCCTTTCTTTTCATTAAAAAAATAAGCCGCTTTGTAAAATTCTTTCAAAGTTTCAAAAATTGACCGCAAAAAACAGAATACCAAGTCAAACTCTCCGAATCGGAAGAAATCGGCTACGTCTTGCTCAACCGCTTTAGCGCCACGGACGAAGACGCCGGCGAAAACGGTTGCATCGACTACGAATTAACTGGAAAAGACTCGTATCTCTTCGGCACTGAAGTGGAAGGCGATTGCGGGCCAGTCTCGATCGTCCTCAGGCAAAAAATCGATTACGATGAACAACAGCTCGACTCGGAAAGCGCTGAATTGGGAAAGATGGAACTTCAACTCGTGGCAAAAGACCGCGGTTTTCCGCAAAAAACAAGCGCTACGAGCATTTTTGTCGAGCTTATCGACGAGAACGACAACCAGCCGACCTTTTCCAAGTCGAAATACAGCTTCGAATTCCCCGAAACTGCTGAAAAAGGCGACATAATTGGAATCATCACCGCTGAAGACAACGATCTCAGCCCTGCTTTTTCCGACATCAAATTCGACTTCAAACCTGAAAAAAGTCAGCTGTCGACTCCGCCGAATCCCTTCGAGTTGGAAATGATGGCCGATAAAAAGTCCGCCCAAATTGTTCTCAAAAGACAACTCGATTTTGAAGATGAAGGAGAGAAAAACAACAAAAAATGGGAATTTGTCATTACCGCCGAAAACCCGGAAATGCAGGGGATGACAGTCAGCGAGGCACATGTCAAAATCCAGCTTCTCGACGTCAACGAGTTCGCTCCTTCGATCGAGTTCAAGAAATTCAAGACGCTGCGGACTAACAAGGGCAAATCCTACGCGGTGGTCGAGGAACAGGCGAATGTTACTGTATCGAGATTGGAAGTTAGCGATGAAGACGCTTCAACGACCGCAGAGGATGTTTCCATTCAACTTTTTCCGACTTCGAATCAATTTTTCAAGCTCCAGGAAACCTCAAAAACCGGAAAATACCTCCTCGACTACCAGGGCAATCACGCTGACGGGCTTTTTCTAGTCGAAATCGCCGCCAACGACAATTTTTCTCCTTCCCCAAAAAACAGCACCATCCGCTTTCCAGTGTTCATCAACACTCGAGCGAGCAAAAATGCCACGGAAATTGCCGCAATCGTCGATGAAACCCAACTTGAAGATCTTGACAATGACGATTTCGCCGATATTTTGAGCGCGAACATTGTCTTTATCGGCGGCGGAGCAGCGGTTTTCCTCATTTTGCTGATTGTTTTGGTTTGCTGTTGTTGCAGGTAAGAGCAGTGGCACTTCTTCAAGCCAAATAAGAATATGGAAGAGGATCATTTATTTAAAATGCCGATTTTTAGAGCGCGCTGCTGGAGCAAGAAAAAAACAAGGGCACCAAGAAGCCTACAATGTTTCGATGAAAAAAGGGGGGCATGATTATTTGGCGAGCTCGAAGCATGGCGCTACTCTCGACTCAAGAAACGACTTTGAGGGCAACTGGACGAAACCATACGATCCTAGAGCCATGCAGGTAGCTTTTCATCCCTTTGACTCTCTTTTACTTATTTCTAGTCGCCTGGGCAATCTTCCTATCATTCTGGAAACGACTCTGGCAAGGGCGAATCTATTCCGACTCAAAACTACCCGGGAAACTCCTACAACTTCCCAGGTAAAAAAAATTCTAAAAAAAGCCAGCAAAATTGGCGAATTCGCAAGTGACTTGTTCAAGTGGCTAGCTGACGGGTCGGCACTTGGTCCAGCTGTCACTCGCGCTGCACTTGCTCGCTAAAACCCGTCAAAGTTACTTCCGGGGTGATTTAATTATTGTTATCTTTAGCGCCGCCACCAGCAGTTGGTTACAATACTCAGCCGCAAGAAATTGGGGATGAAGAGTGGATGGGCTCGCTTCTTCGGCAAAATAATAATCAAATCCAAGGTAAAATTCGATGAAACTTTCTTTCCATATTTTTCGTTTCCAGAAGGAGCCGCAACAGATACCTTCATCGCCGCGCCAATGAGCAAGTCGAGCTCTTCAAAGCTGATCTACTCTCCTCCTTCTTCCCAAAGCTATCAAAGTCTCAGCCGCCGCGGCAATAACAACCCTCACCGACCTCATTTCTCCACTTTTCTGGACGAAGAAGAAGTCCGCTCTGAAACCAGTTCGATCAGCGTCGCCTTGCTCAACGGGCACATGTCTCCTCATTACGACTCCGACATTGCCAGCAACGCCGGAACTCTCAACAGAAATCAGAACAATCGAATTCAGTAAGTGTCGAAAAAAGGCTAAGCATCGATCATCGCCTGTTTAGATACACTTACCCCTCGCCACAAGAGAGGGATGAAGCCAACTAAACTGCCTCCAAAGAAAAAACTACCGACGAACCAAGAATTAAAAATATATCTACCTGTTCCATTTCGCGTGCATTCTTCAACTGTAAAAAAGAAACTGACCTCTCGAAATCGCAAAGCGGAAAAAAAGAAATACAAACTTGCCAAAAATTTAAAAAATAATCGAAAAGTCTTACCGCTAAAGTTCAATTTTTTCTGTTTATTCAAAAAAAAATCCAAATAAATCAAAATTGAAATCAACGAAGAGTTTTTCTTTCAAGTAAAAATAGAGTTTCATTATTCTTTATTCAAGGGAAAACATAACTTTCATGCAATTTCCAGAGCGCGCCAATTCGAAGGCACTTTCGAATTCTTCAAGTTTGAATCGATGCGAGATCAGCGCTTTCAACAAGTCAAAAAGCAGAAATCGCTACTGTTTTTGCTAAAGTCTATTTTGACATTTTCCTTCAATCTGTTTTTGTATTTCTGGGCTATGGTGACTCCAGCTGGCCAAGTGTTGCAGTAGCGAAAGACGCCGCGAATGTCGATTTCCTGAACCGAAGCAAGCATGATTGGCAACTCGTACATCTTGTCGCGCGGAGCCAAGCCAACGAGAACGACTGTTGATCCTGGCTTCGCCGCGAAGATGCTTTTTCGGGATTTATTTTTTCCGCTCGATGTTAAATTGAATGCTCTTTAGAATCCGAAGCTAAGCTGCATGCATTCTGTTCGACCAGTGCATTCCATCACAGCGTCGAATTTTTGCCCAAGCTCGGTCAAAATGTCGTCACGTGATTTTGACATGACATTAACAGTTTCAAAACCAAGGGATCGAGCGAGCTCTAGGCGACTTTCGATGACATCTGTTAAGACGATTCTTCCGGCTCCTCTTGCGCTCGCTGCGATCGCGCTTTTATTATCAAATAATTAATTAATTAATTTATTCATTACCTCACAAGTCCAATCGGCCCAGCTCCAGTAATAAGCACATCCTGGCCAGGTTCAACTCTTGCTCGCTTAGCAGCGTGAATTCCAACAGAAAGCGGCTCAATCATCGCGCCCAGCTCGTAGCTCATCTCTTCCGGCATCTTGTAGCAGCAGCTCGCCTTGTGCACGAAGTACTGGCAGAGACAACCGTCGTCCGGCGGCGTGGCGCAGAAAAACACCTTGCTCAAATTGTAGCGCCCGTTTTTCGTCAATTCATCGTCGCCAGTCGCGTAGCCGGGTTCGAAAGCGACGCGATCGCCTTTGACAACGTTGCTGACTTTGGATCCGACTTGGATGATTTCGCCAGCGCCTTCGTGGCCGAGAACCATTTTGTTGTCAACTGCGAATCGGGCTCCTCGGCCTTGAGTCCAGTAATGAACATCTGATCCGCAGATGCCAACTGCCTGAAACAGAGTTGAAAAATCAATCATTCTCAAGGGCCTTACCTTTACTTTGATCAAAACCTCATCCTCCTCCAGAGACCGCGTCGCTCCAAGATCGCCAATTTTCAGCTCTGTTATCCAATCGCCCGGAACTCCCTTGTCAGTCCAGGGATCCTTGCCCTCTCTGTTTTCGACGAAGATGCCTCGATTCTGCATGTTACAAAATTTCAAGAAAAAGATGGCAAAATGGCCATTTTATTCAAATTCAAGTGCTTGGCAAATAAAGAGATTGATGATCGTAAATTGTCGTTAATTTTAAGGAGCCCACTTCTTTCGACAAGAGCTCTGCAAGCTAAAATTTGATTTTCAATTTTGCAATACATTTATTTGATTTATTCAAAATCAGTGTCAAAAAGCAGCAGTTAAAGATTTTTCAGAAGTCCTTCGAGTCCGCCCAAGTCAAATCCTTTCGATCCTCCTTTTTGCTTCCAAGACCTCCCAAGTCTCCGAACGCGTCCGCCATCTGGCCGATGATATCGGCATTTTTAGTCGATCTCTTTAAGAGAGTGTTAATAACACATTTTCAGCGATGTTTCTTTCCGAGCTCAAACCTTTCCGCGGGAAGAAGAGCCTCTTTTGGAGGAAGAACCAAACGACGCTTTCTTCTTTCCATTTCCGAGGCCGAATTCGTCACCCAAACCCCGAAAACATCCTTCATTTGGTTGACAATGTCAATTTGGTCGATGATTCCCTCGGCTAAACATTGAAATGACTTTTTTAAACAATCTAAGACGAAAACGAACCTGAAAGATCGACAATATGGCCGATTCCCTTTTCCAAGCAGGCGACTCCGTCCTCGATCGAGTTCATTTTGCCGCATTCTCTGTTTAAATCGAAGTCAGCAACTCTGTCCATCATCTGAAAATTCAATAAGTGAAAGAATTGACAAGAAAATACTCACTTCTCCAATGTCGAAACTGTTGATAATATCGCTCAAATCACCGGGAAGGGAGTCGGCTCCGCTGAGGAGGCGAAGGCGGCGAAGAATCCGAAAAGTTTCATCGTTTTTTGATGCGCAGAATTTTCGAGTATGCGCGAGTTGAGTTGGTACTCCCCATTTTGTAATTTCATTTTGCAAATTCAGCAAATAGGGCGTTATCTCAGGATAATGAAACGAACCTAACACTTGAGTTCAAATTAACAAATTCTTGCTTATTGATATTTTTCATAATTTCCCGTCATTTTTCATCTGAAGTTTCTCCTCTTTTTCTATAAAAAATGAGTTTTTCTTGGGAAAAGCTTAAACGCGGTCTTTTTCGAATGATGTAGGATTTCTAGACATTCGACCTTCAATGATCTTGGCTGTTAGGTTCAGACCAAGGTGCTATAATCGCTCCGGAGACGCCTGTTTTCACCTACCTACAGCAGTCTCGCGCTATAAATCAAATAAAGCTTGTAGCTTGCTGCTTCATGGAAAATTTTGAACATGGAGTTCAGTATCTCGTTTTGAACCTCGACTGCCAAATTGAAAATGGACTCAGGTTCGACTTTGACCGCAGAAAAGAACCCGCTCAGCCAAAAAGCGCTGCCAAAAGAGACTTGTTTTCGTTTCGAAATCTCATGAAATTTTTATGTTTTATTCTTTTTTGCTCTTTTTCTTTGTCGATGGAAATTCCGGCCGAATCGATCGAGAAAATCGTCGGCGATATGGACAAAATGTTCACTTCCAGCCTGAGCGGGTATAAAGAGATCAAGGAGGAGTTTGCGAAATCGCAAATTGTTTTGCCGGAAATTTGCGCGAATATGAATTCGTTTAAAAATGTGGCGCAGTGTGGGCAGTCGTTTGTTGAAGATGTTTATGCTTCTGGAAGTAAGAAAATTTTTGATGGATTTTTTCAAAATTTGTTTAGTAAAAACTTTGATCAACGTCTTCGGCGAAAGCTATTCCGTAGAAGAAAGCCTCAACAATCTGAACGCGAATTTCGACCAGCTAATTGAAGAACTGGGCGGTGAAAACTTGGTGGACGAAAAACGAAAATGAAAATCGAGAAGGCGAAAATGGTGGTTTCCAGTTTGGTCGATTTTAACATTGAAGACAAAAACCTCTTCGCGGGAATTCCCAGCTCGCTGATTAAAATTGACGACATTATTTGGGAATCTGCTGAGGAATCTGTTCAAATTACCGATGCTCTACTTGAAGAAGTAAGTTTTTCCTGTCTTTTAGAATACTTCTTGCGAATAGACAATTGATAGAGCTTTTTAGTGGAGTGGGAGGTACTCATCTGCGGCGAGAAAATTGTTCGATATTTGTAGAGAGAATGATGAAGGTGCGTTTGTTAAATAGATTTTAGGGTTTCTTTTTGGAAAATAATCAATTAAAAAATGCCGAAAAGAAATTCCAAAATATCTTCTCGCAAAATGCGGCCGAAAGCTGATGAAAGACCTCAAAATCAATCAAAGTACGAAGTTAATAAAAGCTGAGATAATAAAAATTCGTTCAGAAACAAGTTTGATAATTGATTTCCTCAAATTTTCGTTCGACGAATTTGATGATGACCGAAATGGAAAACTTGATTTTGAAAAGTTCGAAAAGATCTTTGCCAATTTCATCGCGACGGCCGGATCGACCATGATCAAGATTTTCGATAGAAATGAAGACGGAATAATCGACAAAGCGGAAACAAACAAGGTTAGGTTTTGAAAGAATCCTTCTTTGTATGTTTTATAGATTTTGAAAGAACTTGGCAAATTAAGCGTCTTTCAAGGCGATTATTTGAGCGGATCTTACAGTAATTTCTACCTGCACCCCACTGCTGATGTAAGAACTCCCTCTGAGAAACTTTTAAATAACCATTTTTTCAGCTGATATCAAGTTTTCTGGTGTCGACAAAACAGACAATTTCGAAGTCGGAGATGACGAATATGACGGCGAAGGTGATGACAAGACTAGCAAGCGATTACTATGACCTGCAAGTTTCTGACTGGGAAGCGAGAAATAAATGAACCAACAAAAGTCTTTTGCTTTATTTTTTATCGCAAATCAGTATTTGATAATTTCTTTAACTCGACCTCGATCTAAAAATATCGACGTCGATCCCAATATTTTGCTTTCTTCCTCCACATGAGTGCTCACCAAAACGCCTTTGTTTAATTTTTCAAACACTTGAAGCAAGCTTTTCATTTTGATCCTCGCTGACGGGTCCAGACCGCTCTAGAAAAAATTAATAATACAGAAAAAGAAGCAAGCACTCACGGAAGGTTCATCAAGAACGATGAAATCCGGGTTGTTGAGAATCGAAATGGCGACGGACAATTTTCGCTTAGCTCCTCCAGAAAGCTCTTTCGTCAGTCTTTTGGAATATTTGACAATATCCACGAGGGAACTGATTTCCTTCGCGACTCGCTGGCAGTTTTCGATTCCTCTTGTTCCGAGTAAGATTTCGATCGTTTCTTCTACCGTCAAGTTGTCTAGCAGACAATCTTGCTGTCTGCAATACCCGATTCTTCCTGATCTCGAAATGAAGCCACTTGATGGGGTCTTTAATTGACAGAGAATGCTCAAGAGCGTTGTTTTTCCAGCCCCGTTTGAGCCGAGAAGACAGATGGTTTCCCCACGATGAAGGTTGAAAGAAACATCTTTCAGTACTTCCTTCTTTCGCTGCTTTTCTATTAAAGGGTCTCAAAATGAAGAATCGAGAAAATAAAAGAATGAAGAATTTTAGACCGTCCTTTGTAGATTTTGGTGATATTTTTGATTTGAATGGATTCTTCTGAATTAGGAACAGAATTCGTTTCTTCAATGGGTGTTAGTTCATCATCGCAGTTTTCAAGGAAAAAGAGAATCATCCAGTAGATAGACGAAAGACCAAAGCATCTGTTTCCATGGTTGTTAAAAAATTAAACGATTTTGTAACCTTTTATTTTCTCCAACCATTTTCTTATCCACGAATTGCCAGATATTCTGACCACGCTCATCGAATCAATCTGTATCGCTTGGCAAAAGAAAGATACTCCCGTGGTCTTTTTACTGATGCATAATTTCGAGAAAGAATTTGACGAATAGATTTCAAAAAGCTCGATCGCGAAGTTGTACGAAGGCAGAATTCCATACAGCTGAAAGAGAAGAGAAGACTCTTGCTCGTTTCCGGTGAAGATCTGCGCGCAGGTGGCGGACATGAACATCAGAACCGTGCAAATGATGTTGACGTTGCTGTGGTGGCCGATGAAGGAGCCTTTGTCTTCTGATAGATGGCCGAGGATGAAAGCTACCGGCATGTGGGCAATAAAGAATCGGATGCAGACGAAAAAGACGGGCGAGAATTCGTCGAGTCCGAGGAGAAAATTCGGCGATTTGATGAAAAACTCGTCGCTGCCATCGTTGCGACAAGAAGTAGCACTGACTGTATTAGACAGGTGACGTACTGGATGAGCCAGAAGTGATGCCTTTTCAGGTTCGATGTATGCGCTTGAATTTGCCTGAAGCCAGTTGTTCTCTCCTCCACTGCGTTCATTCCAATCGGCGCCATCATCAGCATCATCGCCAAAATACAGTTGTAGACTACGGTCATTCCTTTCACAAACGAATCTGTAAAGAGCGCGTCTCCCTCCGGCTGGGGAAGATCAAAGGGCTTGTGGGTCAGAAACATGCTCGAGTTGCTCTTTGCTTTTGAAGAAGGGTTCGATGAGAATGAAGGAGAGCAGCTGGAGGAGCGTGGAAAAAGTCGTTCGGGAACAAAGAAAAGTCGTAGTCTGGAAGGTGGACGATTCCGTTCAGTCCCGTTCCGATCGTTTTCAGCACATCGTCGAAATTGACCGTTGATGCTTCCGGGCTTGCGCTTCTATTGCTGTCGAGGAAGATGTCTGTCAAGATGATCACGGCTGTCGGGAGGAGAAACTGCATTAAGAGGATGAAAGGATTTCTTTTCAGAAGAATAAAGCACTTTCGAAGCTGAGTAAGGAGAATTGACGAAATTTGATCGTCACTTTTTTGGCTTTCTGAAGGGCTTTTTCAAGGACTTCGTAACTTTTTATTCGTTCTTCTAGCTGCCAATTTCCTTTCTCTGTATTGACTGGATCAAAAAATGAGGACAGTCTGAATGAGGGTTCGTCTTTCATCATTTCTTTGAGCGATCCAGACTCGGGAAGCTGCCCATCTTTCAAGAAAATCACCGAGTTCGCTAAGTTTTCCGCTTCGTCCATGTAATGAGTCGACATGAGAATAGAAGTCGCGCTTGATAAACTTTTCAATATTCCCCAGAGTTCCTTTCTAGAGACCGGGTCAAGTCCGGAGGATGGTTCGTCCAAAAGCAATCTTTTCGGACGGCCGATGATGGAGAGCCCTAAAGAAAGCTTTCGAAGCATACCGCCCGAAAGCTGATTCGGAAAGTTTTCGAGCTTTTCGGAAAGTTGAACGTCTTTTGCCAAGGATTCAATCTCTTCATGGTCAAAAGAAGATTCAGCCGAGAGTTCGGAGAAGATTTCAAAATGCTCCTTCACCGTCAAAAATTCAAAGAAAATGTTGTGCTGCGGACAGTATCCGCAATTCCCGCTGCCGATGAGGTCTGATCCAGATGTGGGCTCAACAAATCCGCATAGAATGCTCAACAGCGTCGATTTTCCTGATCCATTTTCGCCGAGAAGAACTGTTATTGTCTTTTCTTCAGTTTTGAAGGAAACGTTTTTCAAGGCGACTTGACCGGAAGAAGAGTAGAATTTCGATAAATTTTGCACTTCGAAGCGAAAAGCGTCCGTTTTCTTCTGGGAGTTGAGTTTTCTGCTCTTTATGTTCTCAATTTTGAGAGTGAGGTAGAAGTAAAACAGCGTCGTGAGAAGAAGATAGAAGATAACATCGACCATTCCCAGTGGATCTTCAAAGAAAATTCTCTTGAAGAAATTCTTATTGAGAGACAAGGCCATCTTTTGCCTTCGTAATGGCAGATCATGTCGCAGCCCAATGCGAGCAAAATTGTTGGATTGAGAATGATCGCAATTTTCAGCAGAAATGGCATGAGACGCCAGCTGGTCGAGATAAATCCATGCGGGACGGAAATGAAGAAAATGATCGCCGAAGTCACTGTTGCCGCCGTTGTTGGCGTCTTGAAAATGTCGAAGCAAAGTGACAGACGAAAATCAAGGAAGAACCATAAGCAGTGAGAAGAAGCCAGATAACGGAAAACGAAGTGTGGGGAAAGATCGCGCCGTTGGTCGAAATCTTCGCAGTCAACGAGAAGGAAACGATGGCAGAAGCGATCGATTGAAAAACCAAACTGACGAAGTGGTGCGCTAGAATGATGTCCTTCGGCGACGCGCCAACGAGAGACAGGTAATCCAGTCGATGTTCTTCCCTATGGCGAGTGATAGTCCGAATCACGTGTTGGACAAAATGCGCAAATCCGATCATGAAAATCAGGTGGAGTTGTTGCCGCGCCATTTCCGCAAAAGTCGCAGTCAGTTTGACCGACTGTCGAAACGGCTGTAAAATTTGTTCAGCATCATTTTTGACGCCGTTTTGCTCTAGAAACTGTTTCTGAATCGAGTTCTGCACGGGTAGAAATGCTTCGGTGTAGTAGAGCGACCACTGAGAATGATCGTCGATCAAAGTTGAGCCGATTGTGTTCGTAATCATTTTCCCAAAAATCGTCGGAGAGGTCAAATGCCCCATCCAGCCCTTCCAATTTCCCTTGATTGGATATTTTCCAGCAGTTGGAACTGTTCGAATCGTAAAATCTAGCTTTTTAGAAACTTCTGAATGAAAATGAACGCCGAGGAAAATATTCAAAGTGCTATTTTTCGATCGGGAATGAATGTACTCTTCCATGTCTTCAACTGTCGAAAATCCTTTCGGCACAATTCTTTTCTTTTGAGAAATGTTGCCGAAAAAGTCGTAGCCGCTGAATTTTCGACCGATGTCGGAGCAGGTTTTGTTGATGATTTCAAAGTTACGAGGAGTGTCTGGAGTGAAGAGGATCTCATGAGTGTCGACCACGGAGAATCGTTTGGGATAGACTTTTGACGAAATTATTGGCGGGAGGTTTACTTGCGGCGTGTCGTAATCTCTCGCTGAAAATTAAGATAGAGATTGGACGAGGGAATTTTCTTACCGATTGATTCCCTGAAACTGAGAAGCAAAATCGAGCTCAAAGAAGGAACCGTCAAGAGAAGAACCAAATCCAGCGGCTTTCTCAGCTTTTCTAGCAAGAACAGTCGAGCGAGGGTCCAAAATTTTCTCTTTGATATTTTTGAATTTTTCTTCATTTTCGAAGAAAATTGATCAGTAAGGAAAATTATCAAGTGCGTTGTCTTGAAATAAGCCGCGCAATCTTTGAACCTCGCACTCAAGTTCAGAGTCTGAGCTTCAGACTTTTCTGCTTTTTTGAGGTCAAATTCGACGAGTTGGGAGTCTTTGTGACTTTTATGTTCTGGAAAATTGAATAAAAAGGAACAATGGTATTAAATCTCAAACAGAAATTCAAGAACGCCAAAAGCTAAGATTTTTCTAACCTCTTATTTTAGGTTCATTTCTTTATTTCAAGTACGAAGGTCACCTTTTTTGTCACGTTGGTCCACAATGTCTTCACCAAGCTAGTCTAGGCAGGGCAACACTTTGTAAACAATATCAGCAAAATTTTGAAATGAAACTTTTCGGACTTTTTGCTGGTCTCGCTGCAGCTCAAGATTTTCGCGTGCTCAATGGAGCGGCTGAAGATTTGGACAAGATCATTCGTTCGTCTTCTGGCAACTTCAAAGAGGTAAGTATTCGCTTCAATTGATTTTTTAATCATGTATCAGATCTTTGAAAAAGTCGCGAACTACGATTTCGAGCGACCAAGAGAATGCCACAGCGAGAAAATGACGATCGAGGAAGGCGTTGCCTGCGTCCAACAGGGCTTCAGCCAGATTCTAGAGTTTGCATGTAAGTTCTTTCAAGCACCACTCAGCTTACCCGCCTTGCCTAGCAGAGACTTTCGCGGAGACCTCGGAAAACTTGGTAAAAGACGGAGCCT